TGTGTGTGTGTGTGTGTGTGTTGTCATGTGCGCTATGCACAACTCCAGAAAAGCCATGACTTTTTAGGTGTGTGTGTGTGTATGTTGTCATGTGCGCTATGCAGAAAATCCATAACTTTTTTTTTTTTTTTTTTTTGTGTGTGTGTGTGTGTCTTGTTGGGGGGGTGTTTGTTGATGAAGACGGCACAATGGTTGGGTTTGAAAAAAATCAGTTTGTTGGAAGAGTGAACTCGCGTGCGAAACCAAAGAAAAACGAAAAGAAAAAGGAACCTGGAGTGCGAAACTGTGGACGCTCACCCGGTGAGCAGAGGCGACAATTATGTCCTCGCCACTCTCTCATTCCTGGCTGTGCTGACGTGGCGCGAGCAGGAAAAAATACTAATATTGACTAAGCCCTACCTCCCGGGCCAAACGGGACTTGAACCCACAACTTCTGGCAAATACGGACTAACTGAAAGGCCTTCCACGTTTCAGACCCCAGATTCGGATCTCAGCGTCAGATGCCCACTCCAAGAAAAGGACGAACTCCTCAAACTCAGATAAGTCACAATCGGGTACCTTAGAAGTCTTGTTCAACAGGCACCCAGCAAACAGTCACAGCTCAGGGACAAGAGTCACGTCCCATAATAAAAAGCCATTCAGAAGAGTCACATCCCACGAGTGAAAAGGCAGATTCACTAAGCAAGAGTCATGTCTCAAGACAGGAGTCACGTTTCCTAATGAAAAGTCATATTGAAGAGACACACCCCACGAGTAAAAGGTAGTTAGTATCACAGTCAAAAGTCGTGACCCGCAGGCAAGAGACACTGTCCACAGTCAAAAGTCATGTTCACAACTGAAAAGTCATGACTCAAGGGCCCGAAGCAGCAGTAGTCCAATGGAAATTCGGGAGGTTCCAGGGCTTGACATTCAGTAGCAGACAGGCCGTGGGGATGTGGTACCACGTCGACCAAAGGCAGCGCCACATATACCAGAGGCAGCGCCATGTCAGCATGCCACGTTGACCAGAGGCAGCGCCACATCAGCATAGCCTGGCGCACTGAGAAGCGCCAGCATGCTGCCTCCACTTCGTGCTGTCGCCCGCAGCGCCTGTGCACAGCCATCATGTAGCCAGCGTCTAGCCAAAGTCGAGCCAGCGTCAAAGCAGCATAGCAAGACTGAATGCTTGACTCACTCGAGGCCAGCCTTAAGTAGCAGTCGTCGAGGCTGTCTGGCCTCGGTTGCCTTTCCCACAGTCGTCCACATTGACTCGCAGCTGAAGGCCTGGATTGTACAGTTGCAGACTTCTCCCTTGGACCTGATGCTGTCTGGGTACCTGCATACAAACAAGTGTGTGTGCTTGACCAGCGGCCTGGGCAAGGTACCTTTGGACTTTGACTGTTGGGTGGACCGACAGTTGACTAAGTCAACTGTCACACGCCCAGGCCCTGAATTCGTGTAGGGCCATTTTTGCCCTTGTTCGGCCTGGGCTGAGGGCGGCCTGGTAGGCCCTCTGAGACCCTCAGTTTCCACGAGACATATGGTATGTGTTATTACAATAACCCTAAACCTAATTTAAATCCGAAATTCCTCAAATATGCCTAAGAAGCTATTCATGTAAATTTCTCCTATATGCCAACTTTTACAAATATAAGGCTTTTACCAATCAATCAAAACATGAGCAAAATGCCTTAAATGGCGCAACACAACAAAGATGCACCCCAAGTATGTGCTTGATCGAAGTTGATCCTATCCTAATTCTGCAGGTGTGTTATGATGTTCGCCTGTACACAACTCACAAAAACGCATGACTATGCCAGACAGTTCCGTCGGACTTTCACCAACAGGTGTGTGCGTGTGTTTGTGTGTGTGAGAGAGAGAGAGTGATTGATCTGTGTGTGTGTGTGTGTGTGTGTGTGTGTGTGTGTGTGTGTGTGTGTGAGAGAGAGAGAGAGAGAGAGAGAGAGAGAGAGAGAGTGGCAGACTGCCGCAACAGCCTGTCCAGAAGAGCACAGCAGCTCACAGAGGCAGACATGTGTTGCATGCTGCGCCTGCACACGCGGGCCATTTTCCAGGCCCTGCGTCCTTCAGGCCGAAAGCCTGAAATCCAGGGCTTACAGGCCCCGTGTCTGTTTCAGCCCGAAAGCCTGAAATCCAGGGCTTACAGGCCCCATGTTTATTTTGGGCCGAAAGCCTGAAATCCAGGGCTTACAGGCCCCATGGTGTTTCAGCCTGACAGCCTGAAAACAAGGGCCTATAGGCCCTTAGGCTTTAGCCAGCAGCTACCTGGGAACTTTCCGGAAGCTTCCTCAGGCTTCAGCCAGAAGCTACCTGGAAACTTCCCGGAAGCTTCCTCAGGGTCTAGCACGTTTGGGCATTGGCAAGAGCAGCCTCCTGGACGGGCCAGCACTATATAAGACTGGCCCGCCCTACAGGCAGGGGGCAGTTGTAGTCTTCAGGATTCGTCTTCAGCGCTGGGCGCAGTAGGTAGCTGTAGTCTCCAGCGCTGGGCGCCATAGCTAGGATAGCACTAGAGAGAGAGAGAGATTGGGCGGAGGCCAGAGGTACTTACCTGCAGCGCCGTTGCTCCAGCTTCGTCTTCGAGGTACCTGCAGCACAGCGCCAACATCACAGGTTAGTATCTGGCTCGTAACAGAGAGAGAGAGAGAGTTCTTCTTCTTCCTCTTCTCAGTCCACCATCTCCTTCTCCCCCTCTCATCATCTGACTTCACTGCATCTGCAGACTACGGGAGAAGAGAGACAGGGCTTTGCGATATCGGATCCAGACTCGACTTTTGGACTTCAGACATTACAACGAGGGATTATTTGGGACTTGTGACAAAGACTTGGTGTTGACGACATTCCCATCTCTCTCCYTCCTTTCGTCTGATTCCCTCCTCTTCGTCTGTGTATGTCTGGACCTGGCGCTTTCTTCCTGTGTACAGCGTCAGGCTCCTTCACACTTGGTGATGGATACGATGTATGTTTGGTCTGCATTCAAACATTGATTGGGCTAGTCATTAGCATTCTAGCATTCTGCTTTGCTATCTTTTGCTACGTGAATGAGGTCAGTCCCGGTCAGGTCAGGACTTGTATTTAAATCTTCCACTGCGCTATTCAGCACCATTTTGTATGTATGAGAATGCACATTGCTCGTTGAGATTCTACTTGCACTACATTGTCCATTCAGTCCTTTTTATCACATTGCGGCTCCTCAGTTATGATGTACATCGCTCATCTGAGCATGTAACACATGCACACTTAGAATCGAAAATACAGCTTTGAACAAAATGCCATAGCGAGATAAGCTTAAAATACAGAATTAAAACCTCGCCATATTCAACCTCCAAAGTCCGTATACATCAATCCACTTCAACGCATGTCTGGACTCCTATACGCAACCATAGCCGAAAACTTCCCAGAAATCTCGACAACGCAGCCCCTCTACCGGTTTCATCCCTCTGCAGGGAATCATCAGGAAGGTGTGCCCCGTAAAGCCCTTCTGTCAGCGGTAAAGCTTCACACCAAGACATGGTTACCCTCAGGTTAGAGATTTCACGAACATTTCCAGCCCAGTGCACTGTCGAGAATAAGACCCAGCAGTCCTCAAATTAGATCCTGTTAAACACCCTGCACATTCCATAAGCGAGATGGGGTATGAGAGCAGTAAACAAGGACACAAGATGTTAGTGACAGACGGTTTTGTTGGACTCTCACCGACTTATCAGGATATGCAACCCTTGGCAGTCTATGGGATCCTCGTACCGATGCTTTGAGTCATACCTCAATCCCTGTGTCAGGTAGGAAGCCAGGCAAAAGAGGCGGGCAGTAAAGCAGGGCCGCGTATGGAGGCGCACGGATGCGAGCAGCAAAGCAGGAGACCAGGTACAGCGACCAGCCACGCACGGAGGCCAAGCGAATAACAAAGTGCGAAGCCAACTAACAGCCAGGCACACGATCTAGTAAGAAGGCGGGCAGGCAACCAGGCATGCAGCAAGGGAACGGAGTAATGAAGAAGATAAGGCAAATAGACAAGCAGCACGATAACAAAGGTAAGTGGTTCGGCATCCAGGCAGCACAATAGCACTGACAAAGCAGTCCACACGTACAGCACACACCGAAGCATGTCATCATCACCTATTCACACAACACTTGAAATTCTATAGACTGTGGGCTCATGCCACTCGTGTATTTGGGGAGTCACTTCGTACGAATATCTGCCATCACCGCTGGGCACAGATAAACAGACACCCCAGACACAGCAGCCCCCTTGACAGTTCCACAGGCACTCCTAACAAACAGGCACAGACTATTTGGCACATCTTGAAGGTGCTGCACAACACTCGGAAGAACACAGAAAAACGTCTGTGCGTGAAGCACGCAATGTGAAGAAAATAGTTATGTGGAGAGGAAGAAAGGAAATCAGAGATGCCACACAGGGGGCCGTGGGGGATCGAATGGATGCCCTCCTGGCTGGTTGTGGAAGTTAAGTCGTTCTTTCCAGCCTGCGACAGGAGCCCAGGTGCTGTTCCCCGCACAGAGCAGAGTTAGGTCGGTGTTGACCCATAACCTTAGGATAGCCTAGTCTAGGTTAGTAGATTTACTAGTTGCTCTTCCTGAGTAGATGTGATCCATTATCTGCCTTGGACGGCTTGTGGGTAGGGCATAGATATGGGTAGCTAGTGTGAGGCGAGAGAAGAAAGTAGGGTAGGGGCGGCTACTAGGGGGGGGGGGGGAATACAACTGTCCCCCATATGAGGAGAAGACAGCTGTAGTTAAAAAAAAAAGAAAAAAAAAGAAAAGGAAGTTAGAGATAATATGATTGTGGGGGGGGGGGGGGGGGGGGGGGGGGGGGGGGGGGGGGGGGTTGGGGGGGGGGGGGGGGGGGGGGGGGGTGAGTGTGTGCGTGTGTGTATCTGGACAGCTGTAACATCTAAGCCTCTAAGGGTCGTTATTTTTCTGTTCTGGAATTCAGAAATTTAACCCATTGGTTGGTATTGCATTTCTCTCCTGTGTTGCAGTGCGGACACATTCTTGGATGGGAGAGGAAACGATTTTCGATAACGACTAAAACTTGGTGAAATGTCAGGAGTGCACTTCGTGTCCCGTGAAACTGTGCTTTGTGAAAGGGACAGTGTGGAACGACTTTTCTCTCACAGTCCTCAACAGGCACTTCTGAGGATCTTGAATGTAGAAGATCCCCTAATGAGGTGATACGATATGAGGACGGATGACATCTCTCATATCATATGAGGCCTGAACCTCCATTTTCGGTGCGGCGCACATGACACATCCCTTTTATTGCATACGAATGCCCGTTCAGTGCACAACTCACTCTCCTTTTGGCTGCTCGAGGTAACTACGGTCGCGAGCTGGTAACCATAGTTACGATAGGCCTGAACCTCCATTTCGATTGTGGCGCAGGAGACAGGAGTGTTCCCTCCCTCAACAAAGTTGAAGATGATCCGCGACAGCTGTTACAAGAAATTGTTCGAATGGCCGTCATAGCGATTGTGTCTTCATTTCGACCCTTCTCCAGGACCTTCCGTTAGTTCCCATGGGTAGACTGGTTTGCCTTTATCGCTGCTGCTTTTATCGTCTGCGACCCCCTCATTCCCCCCGCCCTTCTCACGGACTGCACACATGCATACTTTATTTGAGTGGGGCTTTTCCCACCCCTCCTCAGTAGAGTGAACGATGATTGGTTGTCGTTCATCCATTGTCGATGCAGCTGGCGGCATATGGTCAGGTACTTCATCTGCTTATCAACGGTAGTAGACTCAGCGCTAGTTCCGGTTGGCATACTTAGTTTGTTTCCACTAGTACTTGCCGGACGTGTCTGAGACAGCTCTTTGTTGACTCACTGTTAAATCAGAGAAGCACCATGGTTGCTTTCCCGTTAGACGCCTTCACTGGTGCCGCATTTGAGACTGCCTTACGCGGAATCTTGGGCGCAATATCAACCATTGTGCAGAAGGCTACGGTACTTCAGGAGAAGGATCTTGCAAGTCTGGGAGATGCAGCCGAGCAGCTGCACTCCCTTGCAGAGCATGTACAAAGTGCCCTTGGAGAGAAGATTCTAGGTCAGCATCCGGTGGTCGTCAGGTTCTTGCATGAAGTCAAAGGGGTGGAGAGCAGAGTCCGGTCCTTTCTGGACCGACCAAGCACTGGTATGGGGCTTGGCATGTACAGGAACAACGCATTGATGCCTACTTTGCTCAGTGAAGTGGAGGAATTGAGACGGAAGCTCCCCACCTGCAGCCTTAATTTAGCAGTGCTAAGTGAGAAGAGAGTTACGGATGCGATACGCAGGCTTGTCTGGCCTAGACCAGGCTCTGGAACAAGGTCTGAAACGGGGTCTGGAACGTGCTTATTGCGCTGCATGGAACGACCTTGCTCAAAGAATACGAGCAGAGTGACTGACGTATCTTGGGAAAACAGTATCAGTGAAGCTGGAGAATCTTCAGGTAAGCAGGCTACCTGAAATGCTGTTTTTTTTTTTGTTTTTTTTTTTTTGTGTTGAACACTATACCCTTTTTTTTAAATAATAATAATTATAATATAAATATTAAATATATATAAAGGGGAGTCAAAAGAATGAGTAAAATGAATGGTTTCACTGTGCCCTTCATGTTTGTCTGTTTTTTTTTTTGTTTCGCAAATTGCGCTGTTTTAGTTCATAGTTATGTGACAATATATATACAACATATATATAGATCATCAAACAGATATATATGCGAGGGTTTGATCCCTCGACATAACCGCATAAGGCCCTGCATCAGGCACACACCCGTCCTAAGTAAAGGTGTGCCCCTGAACTCGTCGATTTTTGCAAATCTTGGTCAGCGCCCGACAGCTGCCACGTGCCAGTTGGTTATATCCGCCTTGCTCGTGAGAATCCACAGTATTCATGAGCCTTCCAGGCTCTTCCAGCAACGTCGTCGAAGCAGGGAGCAACTCACGCTTGCGCCTGGGTGGTTGGGCATGCCTAACCAATTTCGTCTCAGGCCACTGTCTGAATGGGCCTTGTCGAAGACACTTTGGCTGAGACTGAAGCTAGTGAAAACTCGGTCTCACCTGGAGGAAAACAGCCCGCCACTTTCCATATAGGAAAGGGCAGGGCACATGGCGAGGATGTCTGGCACTTGCAAGCAGATGCGGCAGAGCTGCTGGAGCTAGCGTTTGTGGGCTGCTGCGCTAGTGCATTCGCGCGCGTGCTGTCGTGCGAGAAGGCAGGGTGCTGCTGAGGGCAGCACCATAGCCAGCCCCATAGCCGGGCTTGGCTTGGACTTCAGCCAGTGGAGGTGGTGGTGGTCTTCGTTTATGAGGGTGAAGATGTGGGTGATGAAGTCAAGGGTGAGGGAGAGAGAGAGAGAGAGAGAAATGGGGTTGATGATGTGAGGACACGTACCTGGTCTTGGCGATGGTCTACAATGGTCGACATCTTCATGTACTTTGGTTCTGCTGCTGACGTCAACCGGATGCATTGTCAATTCATAGGCTGCTAGTAAGCTGTGTGCTCGTAGTCTGGGCTCTGAGCGCCAAGTAGGAGGAAGGGCTCTGGATACATATGTTGGTGGTGGCGAGAGTGTGCTCTCATTGACATTCGGATTCAGTACTTTGGTTCTCCATTGGTGGAATATCTGTGCATTTCTGCTTTCTGGACAGCGTTGGACTTTCTGCCCTTCAATGTGAATTTGCAATCTGGATTTCTGACATTTCGCTATCGTTCATTTTTCCTTGCAATTTGGTATCGGAGCTGGTTCGAGCCGCTCCGCTGGTCCTTCGCAATAGCTGTTTTGTGCTCCACTTGATATGGTGGGCCAGTGATAATGCTTGTGCGTTGGTGTTTGGGCGGCCCAGTGTCATGTGGGCGTGTCAGGAAGGCTATGTGGTGACATGGGGGTGCAGGCTGGATGATGACAGCTTGCTGATGTGGCAATTTAAGCCGAGGTGGAACTGCATTGTGGGTTGTGCCGAGGCATCGACCGATCATCATAAAGGCACGTCAGGTTACTGGTGAGAAATTTGTGGTTGGGGGCAGCATTATGAGGTATGCTGCTCCTTACCTTATCTACCTCTTCATTACTTCTTACAGTGAGGAAGTGAGTTCTGTCTTGAGAGTCCTCTCATTGTGAGGTGTTGCGAGCGCTCAACCTTGAGGGTCGACATTCTTCCTGGGAGCATGCTGGTGGGAGAGGGGTGTTGCCTCTGAAGGGCCCTGGACGAAGCACTCGGGTCACTATCACCATGCCAACCCGCTGGGACTAGTACACGCATGCTTCGCCGCTTGTCCTCGGTTCTGCTTGCTGCGCTGTAGATGGAACGTGGACTGACCAGTCCTAAGTGAGACGACTACCAGACCGTCTATAAATATTTATGGTGGGATCTGAGTTGAATACTGGCTGTGATCGCCGTCCTGTGTGCGACGTTAAATAATTCATGAGGACCTTGGGGGTTGTCCTTAAACTGCCTCTTGATCAACCAGATCAATCGGATGGAAGGCCCATTGCACGTGAGGATAAAGAACAGGCAGAACTGGTCATAAGCGATTTCTTGGGCACATGGGTGGGCCGGTTACACACCTTCAGACATGCCGCTGAACCAGAGCTTCAGGACATTGACATCAGGAGTCTACTCAAGAGGGATAAAGGGGGAGGGATGATACCAGTAAACAGTTCGATTATTTATTATTGAAAAATTTCCATTCTGCATGCACAACCAGCAAACGATTTTATTTTTATTTTTGATTAGTTAGTTGTGACTGACACTGCTAACAACTGACAGACAACTGCAAATAGGTAGTACAGATTCCTTGTTGCATTGCAATCTGTCTCAGACTAGTCAAAAGTAGGAATAGAATTGTTTGTTGGAATCTGAGATTATCTGCTATTACTGCTTGACTATTTCCTGATAAAAATGGACTGAACATTTATTTTATTTTATTTTTAATCGGTTGTATACCATGCTGCAGTAGGTCCTAGCGAGGACACTAGTGTAGATTGTAGACCACACGTAGCTCATGCGTGGAGGTGACACTGGGGTTGATAGACTAGAGGAAGACGATAGGAGGCTTACCAAGAGACAGACACGTAGTCGACCGACCACTTTCTTAGTGTTAGAGTGAGGAGAGGAAAGGAGACTGCGGAGAGAAGCCAAAGAGAGGGAAGTATTGCAGAGGGCTAGGGAAGCAGCAGCCAATGCCGAAAGGGCACTAGCAGCAGCAGTTGACGTTAGAGCCAGCGCTGAGGCAGCCATGGCTACTGTCTCTACACAAGCCTCATCTCAGGCATCTTCGTCAGGTGTCAGTGAGGGTGTCTCCCAGGTTTCCGTTAGTCATTCTGCTGGCCTGCAGGTCAGCCAGCAGCAACCAATGTCAGATGAGGATTATGAGATCCAACAGATGGATGCTCTCCATGCTGAGTTATCGCGCCAGTTGCAGGAGGTAGAGGAAAGGAGAGAGAGAGCTAGAATTAGAAATGCCAGATTAGAGGCGAGGGGAGAGGAGTTAGGCAAATTAGAAGCTATAGATGAGTTGACTCTCGATCCTGTAGGGAGGTCCCTTCGGAACTCTATGTTGAGTGTATCTGAAATGCAAGTTGTGCAGCAAGAGATGTTGACTGCGTTGATAGCTTGTCAGAACCAGATTCTGACCGCACTGCGGGCGCCACGACCTCTGCTCAGGCAACCACAGTTTGCTGTAGCTCCCCCTACAGTTGCAGGTCCAGTGATGACGCTGCCGCCGACAGGGCAAACCTTTTCCCCTCAGTTTGGCATACCCCCATGAGGCGGACTAGTAGTAGGTAGTAGTGGATTCCTGTACAACCTTATGTATTTCACCAACTGGCGGTTACCGCTACAGGGCAGCCACAAGTGCAGCAGCCCTTGCAACAGATTCAGCTGCAGCAGCAGCAACAAATGTCGCTGCAACAACAAGTGCTGCCGCAGCGACCTGTTCCAACGGTTACCCGACCGATGCAACAGACACATGGTGTTGTACAACCTATGCAGTGGACCCCCAAGATACCCTTGTTGAGTCCTTCACCCTTCTCTGGCGACAAGAAGAAGGAAGAGGACCTGGACACCTAGGTGAGGACTATGCCTACGTACGTAATGCACAAACTCACTAGGACAGAGGAGGACGTCCTTTGTAGAAGGATCTGCAACGAGATGGTTAAACGGGTTAGTATAGCAACATGGCTACAATAAGAACTTAGATGGCCAGGCACAGGCCAGATCATTGGAGGAGTTTGTACGGTTAGTGTATAGCAGGTGGCATGACCCCCAAGGGGCTCAGAAGGCCACCGACTCTCTGGCTAGTCTGGGATCAGAGAGATACCAGACAATACGCGAGGTAACAAACGCCGTAGAGCAACTGATCGTTGTCCCTGGTGTGCGGTATGAACCGCAAGTGCTCTTGACAACTTATTTGCGATGTCTGCCTACAAATTAAAAAAATAAGTTGGTCGATGAGGCCTCCGTCGATGTACATGACTATTCTTTCAGCAAGAAGGCCTTAGACATTGAGGCTAGGCTTGGGAGTGCCCAACAGGGACCGGTCGATGGGAGAAAGAAGAAACTCCCTCAAGACTGAAGGAAGAAAGGCAATCTCATGTTCGTTGATCATGATCGTCAAGAGACTGAGATTGATGACTTCGCGGATCTTTGGGAAGAAACAAAGATAGAAGGGAGTATAAAGACTTCAAATGGTGGAGTAGCTGCTCCTATCAGGTAAAAGGCTAAGGGGGGTGGGAAACAGAAGGCAGGCCGGCCCAAAGGTTAAAGTGACCAAGGAACACCCATATGGGTGAAGTGTGGCCTAGAGTATGAGGTGTGGCGAGACCGTGTTGCGCAAGGCGCTTGCCTGAACTGTGGCCAATATGGGCACACGACGGCTAAGTGCACGAGTAAGCGGGTCGCTACTATGGTCGCGTCCTCAATTGTGACAGTTGGATCTGGTGGTGCTTCTGTGAGCACTTCCCAAGGAAACACCTTTGGCCGCTCTTATTCGTGCTGAAGTGGTAACCTTACCCTCTCTACTTTAGACGATGGCCAAGGTTATTGACCCATTGATCGCCCCGGAGACAGATCCAAACCAATCGATGCTCTATTCCATGGATGTGTCTAAGTCCTTAGAGGAGTTAGAAACTGAGTGGTTAGAAAAGGACCCCAGAGACTCCTGGACGATGTTGAACAAAGGTCCAAAAGGTGAGCATTTCGTGGTAGAAGTCAATGTAGGTGGCCAAAAGGTTGGCACCTTCACAGACATAGGTTCAACACGAAACTTCATTAGTCGTGCTTGTGTGGATAGGCTGCAACGGCTTAGCTGATTTGTAGCATCTACTTTAGCCAACAAGCACTCCATGGTAGTAGGAGACTATGTCAAGGATGTAGTCTACACCTTCTCCTTTGGAGTGGGGGAACTTAGACACAAAATCCCGTTCCTTGTTAGCGACGAGCTGCCTTT